GTCATGAATACAAATGGCTACAACCTTGCTGTGGATATCTGGAGCTTGGGTTGTACTATACTTGAAATGGCAACATCAAAACCACCATGGAGTCAGTATGAAGGGGTGCGGCATATAAATTCCAAACATCTTATAGATTAAAGTCTTTCTTCTGGCTAGCTCTAAACTGTTTAAGATTAAACCTTTCTATTTTTCTGGATTCAACAGGTGGCTGCAATATTTAAAATCGGAAACAGCAAAGATGTTCCTGATATTCCTGATCACCTTTCTAATGAAGCAAAAAATTTCATAAGGCTGTGCTTGCAACGAGAACCATCAGCACGTCCGACAGCCTTGCAACTTCTAGATCACCCTTTCATTCGGGACCAAGCAACCACAAGAGTTGCTAACATCAGCATAACCAAGGATGCATTTCCTTACACTTTTGATGGAAGCCGCACTCCGGTATATATTCTTATGATGCTTGTTTCCCTTTCTCTTTTCTGATGGTTTTAATTACTCTGATTGCACAGACTATTGTTCATATATATATATATATATTGAATACCGAACTAGCCCATCCTGAACTGATTGATTTAGGAAACGCTTATTGGAAGAACTTCAGCTACTTGGTTTTAATACATAAATGTCATAGCCTTTGATTATCATGTCATGTTGTCTGGAAAGAGGGGTACTGCACGCACATAACTCTACTGTATACCATACAAGGCTAGATTCAGCTGAACTGAGAGTGCCTACAAGATAACCTTAGGTATTGGAATCTAGAACTGAATGAAAGTTGTGGATCCAATCATCACTCTTGTTGAATAGAAATCTGCTGGTTTCATGTGTCTGGTGTTGGTGCATGAACAATCATTTGATCCAGAATTCCAGATTGGTGTGTATATAAATGTTGCTTCATGCTAGAATGATACACATAGGTTGGCAACTATAAATGCTAAACTGTAACACAGTATATTTGGATATCATGACATCTACTGTGGTTTTTATGAAGTTTGCTTATCAGTAACTAAAGCTGGATTTAAGCTAATCTCTTTTGTTATGTGAACTTTCTGAGCAGCCCATACTAGAACTGCAGTCAAATAGGAATAATATCCTCTCATTTGATGGAGATTATGGGACAAGGGGATTGGCTGCAACATCCAGGGCTTTGAGGAGTCCAAGGTACTAACAATATTGTCTTACATTTCTGCACTCAATATTATATGCATGAAGTTGTAAATTAACTTGCCTATCATGTATTCATGTGCAGAGATAATGCAAGAACAATCACATCTTTGCCTGTATCTCCTTCTTCAAGCCCATTAAGATATGGTCCAGCACACAAGAGTTGTTTTTATTCTCCTCCTCATCCAGCTTATCAGTTTGTAGGACAGAGTGGTTACAACTTTGGTGACTTCTCTGGGAGTGCATTGAGAACAAGTCCGAGATACACTCAGGATCCTTGGCTTGAATCTTCACAACTAAGAGTCCAAACGCCAGGCACCTCGCCAAGAACGAGACCTATTTGAGATCTTGTAAATAGCAACAGGATAAATTATCTTTTTCCGCGCTATCCCAAATGCCAATGAAATCAAGTAATATGTCGAAAGGATCCTCACTCTTTAGGTAAATTTGGCAATCTCAATTTTCCTAGCCGACTAGAACAAAGTGATTTGCATTTTTTAATTGAAGGCTACTTGAAGTGGGAATATTCGGGACAAGGGGACTTTTGTTGGTCGGGAAAGATGGAGATGCTAGGGCACTTGATCTTTGTAACAATCTCTCGTTGATTGTTGTATATTGGAAAGGTCGTCACTGCGTATGTAACGTTGATGCTGTTGTATAGTGTTCATCACGTGCGTAATACCATCACTTGTCATCAACTGAACAGATTGAACTGGTCTTGTAATACCATCGCATTTTACCTCCATATTCAGAAGGTCGTGTTTTATGCTCTTAAATATGTTTTCATTGAAAAATATCAGATTGCCTGTCAAATCGGTCATGCCTTGCAAATATCACACCGCAGGCCGTACATGGCACCTCCTCGTTTGTTAGTGGGGATTGGGTTCGGCCGAAGTCATTGAATCAGGGTTATGAATGTGGTCAGGTTCCTGGACAACCCCAACCAGACAAAATTTGCAAAGCAGCCGATAAGAAAGGCGGCTCCATAACTAACATGCTTGTGGTATTGGCAACTTGCTTAATTCATGTTATGGCCTTTGCTTTCGGTGGCATTTGGGACAAGTAGCGGAATCAAATACTTGTGGCAGATTGCGCTGGAACCTTTTCTCTATTAAAGTAAACTTTGACAACGGGTTGTGTGAAGGGTACCACCCCTACCCTTGAGGTAGGCCACCGCATTTTGAGTTGTGAAGGGAATCATCCTTGTGAAAGTCAAAAACTTTTTCATTTTTGAATTCGAGAAAAAAATTTAAAAATTATGCTTAAATAAAATATAATATATTAATCAATAGATTTAATATTAAATATTTTTAAAAATCAAAAGTATTAAACATAATCTAATTGGAACTTTCCCTTTCAATTACTGTGTTTAGTTTTGCTCCACGGTTGAGACTCCAACTCAACATCTTTAGGATGAGATTGTTATAAACAATATAATTTGGATAAATTTGACTTTGACTTTGCTAAGTGTTTAATAAAATTATATTTTAAATATAACATTAAAAGATTTACACACTACAAAAAATACAAAAAAACTTAGATTTAAAAACCAAAATAGAACATCATAACTCTTTGAAATTGATGGCAAAAAGAAAGAAAAAAAAAAGGTAATAGAGAGAATGCCATTCACTTTGTTAGAGAACAAAAACACATTAAAAATGATTTTTTAATGATTTCTAAACATTACAAAGAGCAAGACCTCTTTGGTGGGCTTGAATTTTGTTAGAATCAATTTCATTTTTTTTTATGAGAATGAGAATTTGAATTTGACTCATAAATATGTGTACTTACCATTTATTCAAATAGAAAAGAACAAAACAAGTGATTTTTTATTTTAATTGAAACACCTGTTAAATTAGATTTTATACCTTTAAATTTTAAAAAATAGTAGAGTAGTAATATAATACTCACTGTGTTGGTTATAATTTTTTTTCCCTAGCTTTAATCTTATTGTTGTCATTTATGTAGTTTCAATTTAATAAACTTTCAAAAAATCAAATAAAAAATTTTCCAAATATGAGTCAATATTTTTTTATCTGTTCGGTCAGTATTAAGTTTTGATCAAAATGTATCATTTGTCAAAAAAGAAAAATTATGATTTAATTTAAAAGTATTTATGGATTAAATGAGATCCGTTGATTTTTTAAAATTTAAATATTAATTCAGTTCTTCCATTTAAATCCATTTAAACTTATTTAACTTAATTTTGTTATTAAAATCTGAAAAAATGTTTTATATTAATGTTTTAAATATATATTAAAATTCAAATTAAATACATATTATTTTTTAGAATTGAATTTGAGCGTAAAAATCATATTTAAAAGTCGACCATCGGAGTTGGACCCGAACACCTAGCCAGCTGCCCGGACACCTGGTTTGGCAGGCCGTGAACAGGTCTAGTTTGACCTGCTTCAGCAAGCCTAAGTCAACATGAGAGTTGGACTGGTCCCTAAGCCTTAAGCAAACTCACCTAGACAGCCTTTTGAAATAGTTATGACTTATATGACAAATGGAATAAGCATCGCAATGCTATAAAATTTCTTTAACAAAATCTCAAAGTTTAAAAATTTAATAATATTTCAAAATAAATATTTTGAAATTATTATTTAACTAAATAAAAATATCTTAAAAATACATATTTTTTAAAAATTTTAATTTTTAAATTTATTTATTAATAAAGTGACAATGTTTATTTCACTAACAATATATATAGTTTATATATTCATGATGTGTGAAGTATAAATTTTATTTTAAATTATATAGAGCTCAAAGTTTATAAATCTTATTTTAAATTAGTAGTTGAAAAACTTTTGTCAAAATTAATTTAGTAGATTATGAATTAAATATTTAGACATGATATTTTTCATCTCATAAATTTAATATTTTACTTTTTTAATTTAAAATATGAAATTTTTTTTAATTCAAAAATTTTAAATTCTATTTAGTTAGTACTTTTGTTATTTACTTTTTGTTTTCGAAAATAAAAACAATTTCCGAAAATTTTAAATTCATTTTGTATTTTAGTATTTAAAGAAAGTCAGTTGGAAGCATCGATAACGGCAACCAGATGTAGCTGATTCCTACTCTCGGATTCTGAAATTCGAGTATTTCACCAATTCCGATATAAAAATTTCCCTCCCTTCCTTCTTTCTTTTGGAAGCACTGAGGACTAATCGAAGTAAAAGAGCCCCAAATTCTCAGACCAAAGAATGCGAATTGTTCAGAGGAAGAAGAAAGAAGAAAGATGCCAATAGAGATGCCCAAAGGGCTGCCTTTCTCAGTGGACACATTCAGTCCATCTTCAAAGAGAAAGAGGCACCATTTCTTGACCCATGCTCATAAAGATCATACTTCTGGCATTTCCACTCATTTTTCTTACCCAATTTACTCTACCCATCTCACCAAATCCCTTGTTCTTCAACATTGCCCTCAGGTTTTACGTTTTTATTTTTTCATGGTTTTGTAGGACTTCACCCATTTGTTTTTTTCCCCTTTGGGTGTCTGATGTTTTTTTTTCTTGATCTTTGGTTTGGCAGCTTGATGATTCTTTGTTTGTGGGAATTGAAGCAGGGGAATCTGTTGTTATTGATGACCCAGATGGGGAGTTCCAGGTTACAGCCTTTGATGCTAATCATTGCCCTGGTAATCGATGCTTTTCTTGTTATATTTGTTTCATTGATTTCTTGTTATATATTATAATTTTCTTTGACAG